AGTGCAGTCTGCCATCTAGCCTTCTGCCTAACTGGATAATTTATCAGTAATCATCAGTTTGTACCTTTTTCTAGCGATCATCCACGTACTCCTGGTGTAATCTGACCTCAATATCGGTCCCACATTCTGTGCCAGCCCTGAAGGGGGTCGATTTAGCAGTCCAGACGCTAACGCAAGTGTTTCCGCAACTCTGCAACATAGATAGACCAGTGTTGGTTCACCTGAGAATCCTGCAGGAAACGAGTCGAGTCGAATATTCTACAACGGGGAAACAGTCTTTCGGGGATTATCCGAGAGTCCTCTTCGGCGGAATTTAAGTAGGGGAGAGACTCTTGAAACTGCTCCACAATTCAACGCATTTGGTCATCATACGAGCATAAGTTGTAAGGAAATAAATGTGTCAATACAGCTGATTCGTTTTGAACATCTGAACGGGGGAAGATGTTTGAAAGAGAAGCATAAAGGCTCAAGACTGATCCAAATTGCACTCTACTCTACTCGAGTGCGAGCTTTTAGCTGAGATGGATGCACCTGCGAGATATCGAAGATATGTCGACTTAGCACAGCAGAAACAGGGGGTCTATCCTCTAAATCTGCTCACGTCTCTGTGCAAGATATAGGTATAAAATATTCATATAAGCACACATGGACTGGCAAGAAAGTCCTGCGACAAAATGAAGAACTTTTTTGAAACATTTCCAAAGTTTTTCATATCAATCAATTTTCGGAAATATAATTACCAAAGGAGTCAACAACCTTCGATTATCCTTTGAGCCAGTCACTGACACCATCTGTTCAGGAGTGAGGAAGATATGACTCAAAGAAGTAATTGACCGCCGTTCTCAGATCACATTAGGTTACGAATTCCTTTTCCACAACGGGATACTCAAAAAGGCGGAGCACATGGTAGTTAAAAGGGGCAACATTCCGAGTGTACCACTGATGAACAACCTGTGACTGAGTGGAAACGGTGAACTTTACAATTGGGTCCAAAGCGAATTCTCGACCGGCGTTGCCTCTCTGTAGGGATCTGATTTACGGTCTTGGTCTCCTTCTCTAACCCCGTTGCCAAATAGAGGGGATCGTAGGGGTAAGCGATCGTTGTGTCCATCTAGTCTGTGTTCAGCAACTCATAATGGATGGATTCCTTGAACCTCCATCAAATAAAGGGACGACGCTTGCGCTACTCCGAAGGCTAGTATCTCCTGCAATGAAGCAATCCAACCGATTGCTGACCATTGATCGGCGAGCAGTGCTAGCATCAAGTAGATAGCTAACAACTTGAGCCGTTACACGCGCGTTTTCCCCTTGGCGTGCTCAGTAAAATGTGATAAAATGTGATAAAATGAAATAAAATCAATGTGTAAAATGAAATGGTAAAATGGTAATGGCAATGGTAAAATGAATGTGATAAAATGCGCATCGGGTGTTGTCCATCCACTGACCGTAACGCTGCGAAAGCCCACAATCGGTCCTCATTTACTAATGTGTTGATCGCTCGGGGAATGTCCTAAGAGTTCTCCACCCTTGCTACCTAGTTCCCACGGTTGATACAAATTTTCAGCGCTTCAAATTTTTTTGTCGTAGAACTTTCTTGCCAACCCTACTTCTCGTTCATGAGAGTGAACAAACTGTCGAGGGGTACGTTTATATGGGTATGTCCCTAGAGAAAAAATCAAATGCTCTGCAC